GATTTAAAACACACATAAAAGGACAAGGAAAAAAACAAAATTCACCCATAATCCTATCACCCACAGATCTACTATTCTACTACAGTTCTGTTCTATGATATCTGAAGGCAAGCTTTTTCAATTACTTAATCATCATGATGTTAAATATTTTCCTAAAAACATGTTAACAACTGCGTAATATTCTATACAGTTAACTATTTAATTGCACTGGAAAAAGAGAATAAATCATTTAAGATTAATCCAAGAGTATGGCACTTGCCTTTTAAGACAGTTGAAAAATTTGTGTTTTCTGTAAAATGTGTATATATTAAGTACTAAAACACAGGTCATTTAAATCCAAATAAGATTCTAGACTCCTTTCCAACATCTTTTTTAAATTTAAATAAAGAAAGTAAAGCAAAGAGTAACCTAGAAAACATGCAATTTTTTAATGTTCAGTTCAGTTCAGTCGCTCAGTCATGTCCGACTCTTTGCGACCCCATGAATTGCAGCATGCCAGGCCTCCCTGTCCATCACCAACTTCTGGAGTCTACTCAAACTCATGCCCATCAAGTTTGTGATGCCATCCAGCCATCTCATCCTCTGTCGTCCCCTTCTCCTCAATCCCTCAATCCCTCCCAGCATCAGGGTCTTTTCCAATGAGTCAACTGTTCGCATGAGGTGGCCAAAGTATTGGGGTTTCAGCTTTAGCATTGGCTAAATAGTGACAAAAGAAAAGGTCTGACCAAAAAATCTGCTTCAATCAATAAAATGTATTTTCCTGTCATATCATACAATTTTTGTAGAGCATTTGCATTAAATTAATAATTTGACCTATTAATCTTTCATCACACTACACACCTTGAAGAGTGTCTCTACTAATTATGACAAATTTGAGCTAAATATCTACCTCTCTTTTCCAGTCTCTGGAATGACCTAATAATACTCATTTTAACCACAGCTGGCAAAGATTAGGAACATACCTAATTTTCCTACACAGCTAATTATGGAGAAATGGTAGAAAAATAGTAACTCCAATATACTTTTAGTGATAAATGTTAACTAATAAAAATAATTATTATATAATATATTCAAAGAGAAATAAAAATCTACAAGAAAAATGCAAATACAGAAGATTTTCCATTGTGAGAAGAAAAATTCATCTATCCAAATTTAACACATTCAAGGTGAAAATATAATGTGAAACCCTCAATATTTGTTTCTAAATTCACAGTCATAAAGGGCGGTATTAAAATTCATGTGGCCTAAAGTCAAGCAAAACTTCTTCACTGAGAACTACAACACACTGCTGAGAGTAATTAAAGAAGAATTAAACACTGTTAAGTTGTCGCTTCTCTCTGAAATAGATTTGACATCCTCAGGATAATCCCAAAAGGTCTCTGTGAGGAAATTTATAAGCTGATTCTAAAATAAAAGGCAATGTATCTAGTATATCCAAAGTAATCTCATAAAAGAACAAAGTTGAAGGACTTACAGAAACTGACTTCAATATTTACTATACTGTGTTACTGGCATAAAGAGTGACAAGTAAATCAACAGAACAGAATAAATCCATATTTCTAAGGTTATTTGATTTTCAGCAAGGGCATCAAAGCAATTCAGTGGACAAGTAAAGTCTATTCAGCAAATGGTGCTGAAGTAACTAGATATCCATTCAGGTAAAGAAAAATGAACCTCAACATCTACCTCACATCATAGACAAATATTAACACATAGCAGATCACAGACCTAAACAAAAAAAAGCTCAAATCACAGTTTTTAAGAAAAATATAAGAGTATCTTCATAAATTGAGGGCAGGCAAAAGTTTTTTAGATGAACACAGAAAGCAATAATCATAGAGGCAAAAATTGATAAATTAGACTTTATAAAAATTTAAAACTTGCTTATCAAAAGAAACTATTAAGGAAAAAAGGTATGCCTGGGACGGAGAAAAAAAATTGTAAAACATACAGCTGACATAGACCGGTAACTAGAATATATACAGAATTTCAACAACTCTTCAATAAAAAGACAAAATAATTCAATGTTTTTAATAGCTAAAGATTTGACAGATTCTTCACCGAAGAAAATATATATGTCCAATAAGCAAATGAAAAAATGCTCAACAGCAATAGTTACCACAGAAGTGAAAATTAAACCACAATGAAATGCAACTACATATCCACCAGAATACCTAAAATTAGCAAGACCATCGAACACCAAATGTTGATGAGGATGTAGAGCAACCAGAACTCTCATATATCGCTGTTAGGAATGTAAAACAGTCCTGCTTCTGAAGAAAATCTAGTCGTTCCTTACAGAACCAAATATAATGTCACCCTATATCCTAGTGACTCAGCAGCAAATCTACTCCTGAGTAATTTTCCTTGAGAAATAAAAACATGTTCACCAAAAGACTTGTACAAAAATATTAACAGCAACTTTATTCATAGCAGCCAAAATGAAACAGCCTAAATGTCCACCAATAAGAGAACAGATAAACCATGGAATGTTGATAAGCAATAAAAAGAAATTAATTAATTCATACAACATGAAAGAATCTAAAAACATTATACTGAGTGAAAGAAGCACTATATAAAACAGAATAGACATGTGATTCCATTAGTAAGAAATTTCAGAATAGGATAACCTTAATCTGTACTTGAAAAAGAATCATAATAATGGTTCCTCTCAGAGGGTAGGAACAGAGAGTGACTACAAAGAGGAAGAATAAGGGAAGAATTCTCTGGGGTGATGATAATGTTCTAAATCTTGATAGAAAACTGGGTTACAAACATTCATGCATCTGTCAAAACTCAGCAAATGTACACTGAAGATTTGTGTGTGTGTGTGTGTTTCAATGTATGAAAATGTATGTAAATACAAAAAACTTTAAAGGACTGAACTCTAGGTAATGGTATGTATGTTGAAATACTTATGGGGAAACATACTGATGTCTGCAGTTTACTTTTGAGATGCATTCAAAAAGCAGATGAAGTCATGGATGGACAAAAGAATGGATACGTAAAAAAGTAAGTAGAGTAAAATGTCAATGATAAAATCTAGGTGGTGGGTATATGGTTAATTATATACTATCCATTTAATAATAAAGTCAAAGAAAAACATCAATCTATCCTTGAGGGTCAACTATAACATAGACAGCTAAAGAAACTGCAAATGAATAGCATTAATATGGGTTACATATTAAATAATATGAAAATATTGCCTTTATTGCAGTTCTCTGGTATTTTTAATATTGGTCATAGTACTGGAGTGGGTAGCCTATCCCTTCTCCAGGGCATCTTCCCAACCAGAAATTGAACCAGGGTCTCCTGCATTGCAGGCAGATTCTTTACTAACTGAGCTACCAGGAAAGCCCCAAAGAACTTCTAGATTGACTACCTAATTCCCAAACCAAAAAAGCTCTGCTATAAGACCTATAAATAACAAGCAATCAACCAATGGTACAGTGACAATCAAGTACACTCATTGACAATTTCTGGTTGTAAAGAAAAAATATATATAAAACTCCTTGACAATAAATTTGAGAACCCACTTGGAGATTATAATTAAATGAAGACATAACAAATATAAAAACACTGGTGAAAGGCTAACATAACAATGGGATATACCAACTATAAGAACTCTTAAAGAAATCCTTTCCCTACACATTGAGCCTACCATTTTATGATTAACATGATGAAAGGCTAACGTTAACAATGGGATATATCAATTGTTAAGAACTCTTAAAGAAATCCTTTACCGAGCCTACCATTAGATGATTAACACTTTCTACAATCTCTTCAATAAGAGAAAAAGAAGAAAATAATTTGGAAGAGGTCCAGGACAGAGTTTTTTTTTTTTTAAGAAGTTAAAAGTACTCAGAAAAATCACTACTTAACTTTGGGAAGAAAATAAGAGTCTTGAAAAGTACTTGATCTACAGAAAGTGATTATCCATACACATGAGTAGAAATAAAGATTTCATTTAAATTAAACAGCAAGGGACTTGAAACAGATGTCAAACATTAAGGAAACACCCAAGGAAGTCTGTAAAATTCACCAACGTATTTATAAACAGGATAGAACCTTAACTATGACTGAGAATAAGTGTGGTCTGCAGGACACTGTAAGTCAACTATATGTCAATTCTAAAAACATATAATAATAATACTAATAATGTTAAGTCCAACCTAAAGGTATAGTAAGCCTCAAACTCTTTGTTCTACATTATTATTTGATATTAAATATTTGCATAATAATTATGGTTATCAGAACTTTCTTATTGCATGATGGAGGAAAAAAAGGTAGACTACTAGAAAACAGAAGTGTGTACTCTTTTTTTTTTTTAGCTTCCCTCCTGGAACAATCCTATGATAATAAAAAACAAGAGATGAATTTTTAAAACTACCAAGTCTGAAATTTTTAGCTAAAAACCTTACAGTTCTTGTAATGCAGTAAGTTTTTTAGATATTACAATAGGGCAGAAAAACAGCAACAGAGATATTCCAAAATCATGTATACAGTTACTTTACCTAAAAGAGAGACTCCTATGAATATTAAATTTTTTTAAAGAAACTAAGTTATATTCACATCTACAATTTTAAAGTGTTTTCTTAACCTTGTGCTAAACAAGCTTAAGCATTTACTTTTTCCTAAGGTGACAAAATCATGTCTCCACCTTAAGCACAGGGTGGAAGTCAACTGAGCAAGAGCCAAAATTAACAATGACAATTTAATACTTTATGTGGGGAAAGAAAACAAAACAACTTATTTCCCAATATGCCCTTAGTCCAGATGATGGGATACAATACTATTAAAACATATTTTAATGTGCATATGGTAACAACTTTCTTAACCTTATGTAGTATAACTTATCCTAATCCTACTAGGATTAAGAACATACTATTGGTTACATCTTTAGATTTTAAGACCTCATGGAATTTTAAAAATCAGATTGTTTACACATCTAATCCACAGACAGAGTCTAAATTATGTATAGCCTAGGGTTTAATGCACTTACAGTTCCTTATGTTTCTCTTCAGCCAAAATCTGGTCATTAGGTTTAAGAGAATACCTGTAACACAGAAACAAAAATATACTGGTCAAATAAACATATGAGTATGTTTGCCTCATGGACATCTGACTGTAGTTTCTACATACAGCCAATTGACCCCAAGCAAATAAACACTACTACACTGATAACAGGTCTCTATCTTAATTGATAAAACATTAAAAATATGTCTGAGTTCTTTGATGCTGTTAGTCACTTCAACCAACACCACCTCAGTAACGAAAGGGAGATGAACTTGACCAGGCTTTAAAAATATGAGGTATCTTCTTTATTTTTTTGAGGTATCTTCAATATTTTTCAGTAGTGACTCACCTATAATGTTACATTTATCCAGCAGTACAAAATTCAAGAAACTACTCCAAGGCTATGATTAAACAGTTCACAAAACAATACAAAGCTATTCTTTCATTAAATATATAGTAGGGACTTCCCTGGTGGTCCAGTGGTTAAGACTCCACGCTTCCAAAGCAGAGGGGAGTGGGTTCCTACTCTGGTCTGGGAGCTAAAATACCATATGCCATGTTGTACGGCCAGAAGAGGAAAAAAAGCAATATACAGTAAACATTTATTATATACCAGACTATGTACGAAGTAATGTAACACAGGAGGGAAAATAAGCTTTGGAGTTCTTAACTAAACCATTAACTAGCTTAGTGACCATAGGCAATTCTTTCAACTATAAGTTTCCCTGACTATAAAATAGAGGCTACCATAAATATAAGAATAGGGATATTCCAATATCATATAGTTTACACTACTAAAGGTCATAGAAATAGGCAAACAACAAAGGACAGGTATTCATTTTCCACTTGTACTCATCCTTTTCCTAAAATTAACTGTCTGACAGCAGAGAGGTCATCTAATTCTCCTTTCTTGCCTCCCCTTCCACAAGTGCCTTTATTCACTTTATAAAAAGTATTAAATAAGAAATGATTCATAATACTTTGTCTTCAAAGCCTTCTTAGAGTACTACAAACTGACTTTATGGCTTCCTGTTTTATACACTATTACAGTAAACAGTAAAGACAGAAATTTAAAATGAGGAATTGGGATAGAATGTTCTATTTTCAGATATACTCAGAAGTTGATTACAATTTTCATTTTAAAAGTTCATCATTTCTAGCCCATGTTCATCATCAGAGAATATATTCCTTTTCAAGGAGAGCTCTGTGAAGCAAAGCTAAGAGAGTTTCTAAAAAAGAACAAGAAAGACAAAGTCAATTTATTTCTTCCAAGGAACACCCTTTAAACAAGTCTTTTTGCCTTACATCTACCAAGGATTAAGTATCAAAGATGGTTGTTACAGGAACATGAATCAAATCAATTTATTTGAATTGAAAAAATGAACTCAGACTTCTTACATCATGAAAGTAAATCTCATTGGCGTGACAAAGAAAGATCAGTTTTGCCAAAAAGGTTTCAAGATAGACAGTGGCTTTACACTGAATAAAAGGTTTTGGTTAAAAGTGTTTAAGTCACCTGATAAAAACATCTTATCAGAGAAATATCCTTTTGACATAGGTATATTGAAGTTAACAAGATTTAGCTTTTCTCAATATCCTCTGAACAATGCCCATGAATAAAACACTAACATACAATTACTACTCAATACAATTACACTAAGGAGCTTCTGTAAAGCCGTTGTGGTTAAGCTTCCCAGAATTTCAAGTCTTCAATGACTCCAATGATTCTGGCAAGCCAGGTGATTTCTATTCTTTGCTTCCAACAAAACTGAAAAAGGTCTTAATCAAATTATCAGCTGATAGATAAATAAAAATAATTCTGATGATAAATCATTTGACATTAGAAAAGTTCAAATAATTGAGTAAAAATTTCTGAAACAAAACTGTCCATTATCATTCAATTAATTATATAAACAGAGTACTCAAAACTTAGATCTCTAAAAGAAAGAAAAGGAGGAAATAAAACCAATGCTGAACATTGTCTTACTGTAGCACTGGGTATTATTTATCCACAAAAGGTTCAATTAACTGAAAAAAATTAAAGATCAGCTTCATCCATCTCATTAAAAGATGCATTTCCAAAAACTTCTTATTTTCTTGCTTAGTAATGACTTAACATTCAATACATTTATATTGTTTTACTAATTGTATGCTAATTAAAATAACTAGAAAAATATATTTTAAATTTGACTTCATACATATAGTTGTTCAAAGACACATGATAGGGTGATCAATATTCAAGAAAGCTTTGCATGCATAAAAATATATTGCCTTCATAATGTATACATTATATATTATATGCAAAACATAATCCATACATAAAAAATACATTACAAAAGGATGAAATCTGGTGGGAAAAATGTAATAGAAATACAAATTTAAACAGAGAAAGGAATATAAATTTTTTAATGTTAAGAAAGAAGTTTAAAAAAAAAAAGAAGTTGTTTGTATCTTTTTATACATGTATAATGAATGGTGGGTATCAAACCACTATAGTGTTTACACTCCAGTAAAAGAATGAAAAAAAAAAAAAAAGAATGATTTACCAGTTTTATTTAACATTAAAATATAGAAATCATAAATACTTAAATGAGTGAGGAAGTACTTACTTATCAAAACATTTTCATGAAAGTAAAAGTTTGAAACCAGTGGATTTGATGATCTCTTTCTCTTAGCAAAGTGCTTGCTATATACAAAATAGGAACTCAATATAACTTTCCTTTTTTAACATCTATTGTGTGCTTACCAATGCTGTGGCACAGCATTAAACACTTTTAATATATTAGCTCCTTTTTTTTTTTTTGGCCCTACCACAAAGCCAGTAGGATCTTAGTTCGCTGACCCCCTGTGTCCCCTGAAATGGAAATAGGGAGTCCCAACTGTTACACCACCAGGGAATTCCCTTACGTTCCTTCTCTAGATGGTTAGTGAAAGAGAAATAACAAAAATGTCTTGCCCTTATGTGTGTGCTAGTCACTCAGTCGTGTCCAACTCTTTGTGACCCTATGGACTATAGCCCACCAGGGACCTCTGTCCATGGGATTTTCCAGGCAAGAATACTGGAGTGGGTTTCCATTCCCTTCTCCAGGGGATCTTCCTAACCAAGGCATCAAACCCAGGTCTCCTGCACTGCAGGCAGATTCTTTACCCTCTGAGCTACCAGGGAAGCCTGTCTTGCCCTTAGGGATCTCACAATTCAGTAGACAAATCAGAATAAAGTACCACTCATAGTGTCATAAGTATTGATATTACAATAAAGTTAAGTAGAATATAGAAGAGGGAGTATTGTCTCTTTTGTAAGAGTCCAAAAAAAGGACAGTTTTTATCTGTTGCCCAACTTTCTCTTTCTCTCCCATTTCATCTCTTCTGTGTTCCTTCCCCATAAAAAACCTTTCCTCCTTTTAAAGAATTGTGGTGCTGGAGTGTCAGGGAATGTTTAATAGGATTCCTACGTGCTGTTTCTCATAAATCCTCTGTTCCTTATCAATTTCTGGCAACGGAAAGGAGTGGAATGGCACGCCGCTCCCAGGACTGAGGATGAGACATACATGAATCTCCTTCAGTAAACATTCTCCTTAGGACAAAACTGCTTAGTCTCGATCCTCTTTCAAAAGCTGGAAATAGAACTGCCATATGACCCAGCAATCCCACTTCTGGGCATACACACCAAGGAAACCAGATCTGAAAGAGACACCTGCACCCCAATGTTCATCGCAGCACTGTTTATAATAGCCAGGACATGGAAGCAACCCAGATGCCCATCAGCAGACGAATGGATGAGGAAGCTGTGGTACATATACACCATGGAATACTACTCAGCCATTAAAAAGAATTCATTTGAATCAGTTCTAATGAGATGGATGAAACTGGAGCCCATTATACAGAGCGAAGTAAGCCAGAAAGATAAAGACCATTACAATATACTAACACATATATATGGACTTTAGAAAGATGGTAACGATAACCCTATATGCAAAACAGAAAAAGAGACTCAGATGTATGGAACAGACTTGTGGACTCTGGGAGAAGGCGAGGGTGGGATGTTTCAGGAGAACAGCATTGAAACATGTATATTATCTAGGGTGAAACGGATAACCAGCTCAGGCTGGGTACATGAGACAAGTGCTCGGGCCTGGTGCACTGGGAAGACCCAGAGGGATCGGGTGGAGAGGGAGGTGGGAGGGGGGACTGGGATGGGGAATACATGTAAATCCAGGGCTAATTCATATCAATGTATAACAAAAACTACTGTAATGATGTAAAGTAATTAGCCTCCAACTAATAAAAATTTAAAAAAAAAAAAAAGAGATATGGACTGTCTCCTGACCATATTACCATTGTTAATCCCTTGTTCCCTTGGTAACGATTGTTGTACGTTTGGTTTTCTGATCTTTATCATTGTCGAAAGAAATTCCTTATACAACAGCCTATACATACTCACAGAAAGATCATTAAAGCACCTTTGCTCCATCAGAGCTTGGGTCCCTGTGTCTCTCTCCGCCTCTCCCCCCTTTTCCCCCTCCCTCTCCCTCTCCATCCCTCCCTCCACCTAATTCTCTGGAGCATAGAAACCCTGCCAAGCTCATTCTCCTGCCCCAGCTTTCAAGACCCCCTCGAGAGGGCGCCCTGTGCCCTCGTGAGCAGTGCAAGCCCTGTTTTAGGGTTTTATTGGTTCTCTGCATAAACCAGGGAATATCAGCTTCTTTCTCTCTTTCACTTTCTTACCATCGACCCTGGACCACCAGGTTCCAGTCCATTAAAGGACCGCAACACTGGAGAAGACTTGAGAGTCCCTTCGACAGCAAGATCAAATCACTCAGTCCTAAAGGAATCAACCCTGAATATTCACTGGAAGGACTTATGCTGAAGTTGAAGCTCCAATACTTCGGACACTTGATGCAAAGAACCAACTCACTGGAAAAGACCCTGATGCTGGGAAAGATGGAGGGCAGGAGGAAAAAGCAGAGATAGAGGAGATGGTTAGATGGCATCACTGATAAAATGGATATGAACCTGAGCACACTCCAGGAAATAGTGAAA